TTCCTTTTCCACCCATTTTTTAGGCCATCAAACGGACCCTAATTTTGAACGGCCTACATTAACAAGTCGTAACATTTCCTACGAATGATCGTTTCGTACGCCATTAATGATGTAGAAAACTAAACCGTGAACACTTTGAAATTGTATTAAGAATATAATATTTCAATTTCGTTTCACATCCCATAATAACTTCGAAATTTGAAACAAAAACATAGAAAATTTAAACTGAAATACTATCATTAAAGGTTACAGAAAGCTTCCAAATATCGTAGGTTTTTTACCAATCAATTTGACGAATTTCATTCCTCAGTCCAACTAAAGAAACAATACTTAATCTTGGGATTATGTCATCTACCATAAATAAAAATAAGTTAATAAATCTTGAAACTATGTCATCCTCCATTCAAACAGAAAGAAAATCTCAAATACAAGAAATAATATATTAAAAGTATGACTTGAATGAGATATAATAGAATTATATACAGAAAAAAATTAAAAAAAATTTGAGTCAAAGTTAAATCACAGACTGGCCTGCATTACCACAATTGTGACAAAATCAGAGCAACTTTCAGCAAGTTCTTTGCATACAGAAGGAGGGTTGGCATATCCAACTGCAAAAATTATATCAGGGCTGAATCCAAGCTCATTAAATGACTTTTTACGGAGCATCATTGCAAGTAAAGAAGCAGTTGAACCTCCCAGGGAATGACCCACAAGCCTTAATCTAAATCCCTGTTGATTAATTAGTCTCGCTACAAAATGATATGAAGCTTTTAATATATAAGTCAACAAGCCAGAGATAAGGCTAAAGAATAAAAGGTGGAAAAAAATATATTCACCATTACCTGTGCTTCTCTAGGCACTTTCTTATGGTTTCTACCTCGTGAGTTAGAAACCAAGGAGGAGCCTCAGCTGTACTAAAGTGGGTTGAATAACCTTCAAAAGTGACTTCTTCATGGCTTGAAGAAACAATGTCGGTGATTACATCATATACTGTGCAAGTTCCACTAATGCCGAGAATCACAAGTTTCTTGTGCATATCAATTCCTATATAATATCCAGGCCTCAAGACAGTTTTAAATAAACTTCAAAATGTTAGGGGCTGTTTTCTTCGTATTTTAATTTTTAGTTTTGAGTTTTGAATTCATTTTGGGTTTTGCGTTTTGAGTGTCCATTTTAAAATTGTTGAAAACACGTTCTTTTTGTCATTTGCAAAATTGTTTTCAAAAATAAAGAAACCCGAAATCCACTTACATTCTTCCCCTCCTCTCTCTCTTTCCAGCCACTCTCTCCCCCGCCTCTTTCTCGTATCTCTTCCCCTCTTCACCACCACAACAACTTTTCTTCGGCGAGATACACGTTTTCATCAACCGCGAGAAACACTGTGAGGCTTTTCTCTGGCAAAACATACGTCTTCACCACTGCAGAACCGCGAGAAACACTGTACCCAGCACTTTAACGCTGTTACACACAGCGATTTCATCAATGTTGATACTGATTGTGGTTGTGGTAGTGGTGGTTTAGGATGATTTTGGTGTTGTTGGAAGGTTTTAGGCGATTTTTGTTGGTGGCTATGGTTGATCTAGCGCGTGGTTTTTGTTGATGATGCTGGTGAATTGTTGATGGTGGTGGCGGTCGACGATGGTGATAGTGGTAGGGTAAGGCAATGTTGGTGGTGCAAGTGGAGGTGTTGATGATGGTGGTGGCGGTGGACGATGGTAATGGTGGTGTGGTAGATCTAAGCAGTTTTGGTGGTGGTCGGTGATGGTTGCCTTGGTGTTGGTGTTGTGGGCGGCAGTTGTGGCGGCAAGACGTCGTTGGTGGTGGTTGGGGTAATGTTAAACTGAAAACATCCAAAACACATTTTGAAAATTTTGGTTTAGTTTTAACCGAAAATACTCAATTTGTCGTTTTGGATTTTCTTTGTAAATTTTAAATTCGTTTTCGAAAATTCATTTCTGAAAGTAGGTAAGTAAAGGTATTTTTAGTGTTTTCGAAAACTAAAAACTGAAAGTGACCTGAAAACAACAAATAGAACATACTCTTACTTTCTTGGAGCATGCTATTTCTTGCAAGACTAGCATCATTATCTCTATAAAATCCCTTTGCTAGTTCTATGTGGTAGATGAGTTCCTGAACCTGGATCACAAACCCTCACTTCAAAAAAATTCTAGCTTACAGTAAAATGTCTCAATCATTGTTCACCAGAAATCAAAACAAATAACTCCTACGATATTTTTACAAAAGAAAAAGAAGGTTTTGATAGTTACAATTTTCTTTGTGAATGTCTCTGTATGAGAAAAGGAGCTAAGAATGGTGAGTAATATGGTCCTACTAGAAATAAATTTCCAATGAATTGTATTAGTTATTATTTCTAGATTATCTACTAATTAATTAAGTCGTTGTTTGGTAGTCTTTAATCTAGAAAAACTATGTTTTGAATAGTATTTTTTTAGAATGTATGGTTAAATAAGTAGGAAAATTGATACTCTTGAAAGGTGTTCTATTTGCTC